TTTTTCTGTGTTGGTGTAATGTACTCAGGTGAATATGATGCTTGTGATGTTACTCTGAGTGTATATCCACACCGGGCAAGCTTGAAAAATATGCCTGACCACGGAGGGAATCGAACCTACGACCTTTGGAATACCAGCCCAATGCTCTGCCAACTGAGCTACGCAGTCAGATCGGTTCGTGTATGTGATATTTCGGAACTGAGTCTAGTTCCTTCGACATCAATGCAATCTAATAATCATGATTTTTTTGTGTGTTGGTGTTGTGTACTCAAGTGAATATGATGTTTGTGATGTAATACTCTGAGTGTGTATCCACACCGGGCAAGCTTGAAAAATATGCATGCCTGGCCACGTAGGTTCGATTCCCTCCGTGGTCAGGCATATTTTTCAAGCTTGCCCGGTGTGGATATACACTCAGAGTAACATCACAAGCATCATATTCACCTGAGTACCTTACACCAACACAGAAAAACCATTACAGATAAATAGCAGTTTGGCACAATCTCATGCATGTCAAGGTCGGATGACCTTTTTATTTTGGAGCATCCGTCACATGCACCCTGTATTTTTCTTTCTAACTGTTTAAACTTCTAAATGCTAATAAAAATTTATTTTGAGTTTTCTGTTCATTTCTTAACGGCTGCATTCAAGTCAATGGAGTCAACTAAATATTTCACTGGCAAGAACTATAAGATCATCTGATCAAGTCGAGCGTCAAACATCGTGGATCATTCCGCTGAATGTCCGTTCATCTTTGGCAACGGTTACAGGAGCAGTAAAGAGTAGTTTAAGCGTCTTGTATACGTTCGGAGAAATGCTTTTGCTCAAATACGCCTGCTGGCATAGATCCTCGACGGTCTTACATGGGACAACTAACTTCTTAACTCGTTCTTGAAATATTTCAAGCTCTGCGTGAAGACGTACACTCTGCATTCACCGTTATTGACGGCGGGAAAAGACCTGATATTTCATTCATTTGCTGTACGTTTGGTTTTGCAACGGCAGACGAAGTGAATCAGCCAAAGGTTTAATCTTCTTCTCAAAGGACTGTTTCAGGTTGTCGTTATATTCAGTAATAAGAGAATCTTTAACTGCCTTGCGGTAAAATGTGTGGAAGGCAGGGGCTTCTAAAAGTTAATTTATTTAACTTTGCCAAGTAACATGCAACATATAACACCACTGATTTACAACAACATATAATAATATGTGTTTCATTGGCAGGGTGCACGCAACAGTTTTCACCAATTACAGCGGCCCCATTAACTATTTTAATACTATACAACAATATACAACGAACATAAATCTAATAACAACACGATATTTGACAGGACAGATTACGAGACTTGTTACAAGACAAACATATAGATTTCCATGTCCTTGGATCATCAACGTTAAAAACGTCTTCCAACGCTAACTTGTAATATTTTGAAAGTCCGTTTTTGAATTGTCCTAAACTAATGTTATTGCTTGTCAAACTTTTTGGTAATGCGTTCCATAGTCTCTTTGTTCGGTTGAGAAATGACCTTTGGTAGGTAGTGGTCTTGCATTGTGCCGTTGTGATTGACAGATGATTGGGATTAGACGACCTGGTTTGTCTTCTGTTGTTATTGGGTGACGACTGTATTAAATTACTGTCAATGGTCATGATGCCATGCGTTAATTTGTAGAAGGTTACCATATCTAGAAATTCATGCCAGTAGCACAATGGAAGGAGATCTAAAAGTGCAAGTCTCTGGTTGTAGGTTGTGTCACAACGGAAGGGCAGATTCAGGATGTACTTTGTTGCGCGTCTTTGAAGTCTTTCCACGCGTTTAATTAAGGTTACTGATTGTGGTGCCCAAATTTGAGATCCATAGCATAGCTGGGAACGAACAAGACATAAATATAGTCTGCGGCGAACCGTGATATCTTTGATGTTTAAGGTTGATCTTCGGACATATCCTAGCATTTTGGTGGCTTTGTTGCACAGGTGGTCAACTTGTTTAGACCAAGTCAGAGTAGAAGATGTTAAAACTCCAAGATCTCGTTCACAGTCCGTGCATTCTAGGATGGTATCGTTAAGTTTGTATGGATAAGTAATTTTATTGTGCTTTCGGGTGACTCTTAAGACTTTGCATTTGGTGTTATTTAATTCGAGGTTAATAATGCTTGAGCTTTCTTGGAAGTTTGACAGATCATTCTGTAGAGCAGACGCATCAGAGATCGAATTGATGGTCTTGAAGATCTTGGTATCGTCCGCGAATATAGCAATCCTTGAATTGGTCACGGAATTGGAGAGATGATTCTCGTATAGAAGGAACAATAATGGACCGAGGATGGACCCCTGCGGCACTCCTGATCTTACTTGAAGCGGCCTCGACGTTGCTCCAAGAACGGTCGTTTGTTGATATCGGTTGGTCAGATATGAACCGAACCATTTGAGAATGCTTCCTCCAAACCCGAATTCACGAAGGCGATGTAACAGCTTTGCGTGGCTCACTTTATCAAAGGCCTTTGACAAAATCTAAATAAATTACGTCAATTTGTTTACCACGATCTAAGTCACGGCCAATGTGATCAAGGACTTCGATGAGTTGGGTGATGCAGGATTTTTTCGGCACAAAACCGTTTTGGCAAGGGTTTATCTGATCATAAGCATGATGTTTGATGTTGTTAAATACACAACGTTCGAGGGTTTTTGATATAAGGGACAGTAGTGAAATTGGTCGGTAATTTTCTACCTCCGCTTTTTCTCCGTGTTTGTAAACAGGGACCACGTTAGCGAGTTTCCAATCGTCAGGCACAACGCCAATACGTAAAGACTTGTTGAAAAGAGAACAGAGAGATGGTGCAATCTGCGCGGCTGTCTCTTTCAGTAGGCGGGCTGGAATATTATCTGGGCCATGTGCTTTATTATGGTCTAAATTCATTATCACAGCTAGTACTTCTTCCTCCGATAATGTGATATTCTCAAACTCTACGTTATGCAGACGATCACCATGTTCAAAGGCGACGTCCGAGTCAGAGGAGAAGATGGAAACAAAATATTCATTGAACATGTTCGCTATATCGGTGTTACTGTTCGCGTGCTTTCTTTCACTGTCATTGACTTTCGTGGAAACTTTTCCTGGAATGTTGGAAACTTTTGACCTCGTCTTAAAAAAGGACCAAAAGCGTTTTGGGTTGTGATCACGATTGGCGCAGATTTTGTTCATGTATTCAAGTCGACTGTCACGCAACATTCGCTTGATGGTGGAGCGGAGGCTTTTAAATTGATCTCTTAGGTAGTCACTTGGTGAACTAGATCTTTTGATTTTCATTCTCAACGAGTTTTTCTTCTTAATTAAATGAAGAATTTTACTATTCATCCAAGGAAGAGACTTTCGACCTTTTAAATTTGCAGTTGGAACAAACTGCTTCACCGCCGCAAGAAACGAATCTTTCCATTCCGACCAATCTTTATTAATATCGCCATGATCAGATATTTTCTCCTTGAGGTTAAGTGATTGAAGATGTGCTCGTAGACCATCAAAGTCAGCTCGACGATAATTAAATACGGTTCTTTTTACTTTTGGTAATGGATTGCATGCCGTGATTAGATCAAACATGATTAGGCTATGATCTGTGAAGATTCCCGCATCAGTTGGTTTTAAGACTTCGCTTATCTTTATCTTGTCAGGAATACTAGTAATTAAGAGATCAAGTACATTGTTTTCTCTGGTGGGAATGTTATTGATTTGCTCCAGGAAAAAGTCATCCAGAATTTCAATAAATTTCGTTTCGTTCACGCCTACGGAGATTTCCCGCGAGTTCCAGCACGCGCGCGGTAGATTGAAGTCGCCAGCGAGAACAAGTTTTGAATGACGTGAGCAAACATCGTTAAGAAAATTTTCAAAATTTTCCATCCAAATTTTGTCCGCGTTTGGTGGACGATAACAAGAGCAAATAAGTATGTTCGAGTCCGATATTGTTGTTAATTCCACCAAAACAATCTCCAGATTCTGATCATGCTTAATTTCACGCACAGTTTTAAATAATCCCGTTCTTATTGCCAACAAAACTCCGCCCCCGCGACCTTCCCGATCGTTTCTGACTATAGTGTATCCAGAATGTAAAATTTCACCATTGTCTATATTCACAGAAAGCCAAGTCTCGTTGACAAAAACAATGTCAATGTCTTCGGAGTAAACAAAGTTCGTTCTGAAATCGTTCAAGGTTACTCACAGTTTGTCCGTCATTTGTCTTCGTTACACTCATCAAGCTCCGTGCGTTGAGCCCAAGGCATTTTACTGCTCGATTATTATGCGAGATTTGATTTGCATTGCTGGTAGGGCCTGGATTTCTTTCAACATCACCCGATAGTTTGATCAGAAACACTGAAAACAAGGCGTAAAGGAGAAGGCGACAGCCGAGAGCCAATTTTAATGAATTTGCTAACGGTCGTTGTTTCACTTTTCGTCGTCG